ATAAAAGCTTCTCGTGAGCTAATAGCTTAATGGTTAGCAGAGCTGGCACAAGGCTCCCAGTGAGCACCCCCCCCCCGCTTGACTTTCTCCGGCAAGTTTTACCCGAGATGCTCTCCTTCACTAGATGGCAGTAAAGCGAATATATTCCTGGCAAATTATACCTAGACCTACAGCTCAGGTTATAATGGGACCCTTCTGAACTCATGATGTCATCTGTTTTCAACACCCTTAACTCCCAGAGTGCACTGTGGAGAAAAAGGATAGTCTAGGCCTCACAAAACAGGACTGGGATGCCGTCATAGCCTCGTCCCTTCTAGGCTTTTCCCTCAATGATAAACGTATAATTTGAGAGACATTCTAAAATTCTCGGAGCTCTCACCACAAACAAACAAAAACAAGGAAACAAACACCATGCTTCCTAATCACTTATTATCAACCAACTTTCTAGATAACATCTCTTCTTCTAAATCCAAGGAAGGCACACACTAAACGTCACCGCATTTCAGGAACGCTACCAGAAAGATCACAAAGAAAACACAGACAGAGGCTGAGCTCTGAGAGAAAGAGACAGGTGGCTTATCGCAGAGATTGGTGGCTTCTCAGCACAAATTATTCTCAGGTTAAAGAAATGGGAAATTTTAGCCAGAAAAAATTAAAGTAAAGGTTGTATTTGAATTACATACTTAGTCACTGTTGAAGGAACTTCCACTTACCTGACCAGCAAAGAAAACAACTGTTTCTGGTATTTTCTGGGATGCTGCATATCACTGCTAGGTGGCCACATGACACCACAGAGGGGCACAAGGAAGGGCCAGAGTAAGAGTTTGGTAAGTCAAAGATGCGGTAAGGAGGCTCAGAGAGTGCAGGGTCTCAGAAGTGCAAGGAGTTTTCCTTCTATACATACCTTCCCCAAAGTTTCCTCGGTGCTGGGACTGGTGTTAGGCTCTGAGGTTACAAACATGCTTAATACATGGCTCCCACCATTTGAAGATGGTACAGTCAAAAAGATCAAACTCTTGATCTTTATCTTTATTTATGGCACTGACTGAAAAAAAGGAAGGTGCACTCAGGAGACCGGGTTTGAGGGATGGTTTAGAGACTTCAAGGCAAAAAGTTAAATGGGAAAGAAGTTGAGGATTATGAAGGCATTTGAAAATAATTTCTTTTTTAAAATTTTTTGTCTGTGCCACATGGCATTCAGGATCCTAGTTCCCCACCCATGGATTGAACCCGTGCCCTCTGCAGTGGAAGTGCAGAGTCTTAACCACTGGACTGCCAGGGAAGTCCCTAAAATAATTTCTTAATCTGGAAAAAATAAAAATCCATCTGCCTAAATCCAGTAATTAAAATATATATTAAAAAACAGGCAGAAAAATAAACGGTACACACCAAAAACCACAACGGGAATTGTGGTAGCATGCTGGGATTTAGGTGGATTTCTCTTCTCCACTTTCTAATAGTTTTGCAAAGACAATGTGGTTTTACTACTGTTTTCATTTTTAACAGAAAGGAAAGGTCCATACATGCCATAAAAGAAACCAAAGTGACGCTATAATAGCCAAGCCATCAGAGTAGCGAGCGAGGGCTGGAGAAGGCAGCGCTGGGGCCTGGCTCTCCGCACGCCCCCCGCAGAAGCACAGTGGGGCAGGCAGGGCACGGGTCCCAGCCTCACTCCCCGGACCTTGCCGAGCCTCAGCTACCTCACCCAGAATGAGCGTTTCGGAAGAGAATCTCTAAGTTCCTCCGGGTTTCAAGCTGTATGATTCTAAGTTGAAAAAAACTAAGAAATCAGAGAACAGACAAAAGAAATTAGGAATTCCTCCAGCTTCCCACGTAACATGTAGTATACAGGTGGGGGGAAGGGAGTCTATCAAATGTTAATGCTTTTTTTCAGACTAAAAAAATGTATTAGTACTACAGAGCATTTAATGAAATATTATATATCACCTCTAGTTTTAAAAGATGCTTACAAATTAACTGGAAAAAAATACATGGCTGTAAAGTTAAGACAAAAATGCTTAGGCGAAGCCTCAAGGCCGCGTGATTAGCTGCCCTATAAGCTGCAGAAAATCACCCCTCCGGAGGTGTGAGGAGGGTAGCTGCTGGGGCAGAGCGGCAGTGGGGCACTAATAAGCTAGCGCCCCATGGAACCTGTGGGAGGAGGCAAGGCTTGAGCTGGGCATGAAAAAACAGGGACTGGGTTTCTTTTGGGGGTAATGAAAACGTTCTAGAATTAGATAATGGTGGGCAGTTACACAACCTTGTGAATATACTAAAAATCACTGACTTACACAATTTAAAAGGGTAGATTTTATGGTATGGAAACAGCATCTCAAGTTAAAAAAAAGACATGGTCAGAGGTAACTAGGACAGTGCGGCGGAGGTGGGGGCGGAAACCAAAGGTGCCCTGGGAAGAGTAATGAGGAAAAAGGGAGGTTGGAAACAAATTTCAAAGGCTCCAAACATCAGGAAAAGGTAATTGGAAAACTATCACCCATGAGATAGTAAAGGAAGCAAACACTCATGGACAACAGTGAAAGATCAAAAGCTTTGAGGATAACGTCTGTTTCCTCTGCTGGAAAAACAAGCCTCAGGTAAGAGGCGTCCAGGTCCTTTCACTGGACAGGGACTAGAGTGTCTCAGCGTTTCCGAGTGAATGTGCATCTGAAGGGTGCCCTGGTTCTGCGCGCAAAGAAGAGGAAGGCAGAGCCGAGACTGGGTTCGCTCTAAGCTTAAGTGTGACACAAATCAGTGTAAGCCTAAGCAATGCAGCTCCAAACCAGGAACATTTACACAAAAGGACTGAAAAGCCGGGAAGAAGCTAAGATTCTGCAACATAATCTTCATCAATTATATAAAATACATTTAACAGGTTTAAATGCAAAAATGTCACATTGCTTAGCTGCAGATATAAAAAAACTAAGCATCTGAACAGATTCTACTTGTGTAAAGAAATAGAGAAGAAGGAAGGGAAAAAGAAAAATAGGAGAAATGCAAGGGAAGTAAAAGAGAAGGAAATGGTGAGGTGGCCACTGTCTCTTTAAGAAGGTCCTTGGAGATACAGAACTGCAGAAAGCCTGGTGAATACAACATTGATTGGGAATGAGGTAACCACAAACACCGCTGTCTCAAATGAAAAGGGATTCAAGATCTGACCCAGTAAAACAAGCATCGTAACCACCAGATAAAATTTTAATGATAAACACAAAATGCTCTACATACAAGCAAGATTGAAGTATCTGATGCTAGGCCATAAACGTAAGGTTCTCTTAGAAAGAGGGGCCATGAGGAGACTCTCTGACCCACAGATCAAGTTTCATCTTATCGATCCACTAAACTCTGCCATCGCTTTGCTTTGTGCTGGCATAATCCGTAATGTTGAGCAGGCCTCGAGGGAACGGAGAGGCAGGAAAAGGAGGACTGGCATCTGGACTAGTGTCCAGATAAGAAATTCATAATTGGCTTTTGAGAATCGTCTCCCTTATTTCTAATTCCTTTTATGACTCTTTCAGTTCAATCTCAATAGTCTGTCCTCAAAGGCCCCTGACACATCAGGAGACTTCTCTAAGCTAGAATGATCCCAGTCCCTTTGGGAGTTATTGAGGAATCTCAGAATTAGCAGGTGAAAAGGATCTTACCTAGCATGAGCTCTCAGGCCCATACCTGAGCAATGAGGGGCAGAAGCCTAGAGCCACACTGATAACTGAAGGGATAAAATTCTAGATTTCTGGTCCATTAATTTTTCTAAAAGTAATAGTTCTATAGCACTCCCAAGAAGGGTATTTACTGGCCTCGAAATCATGGCCAGTAAAACACAAGCTAATGGAAAGTGTTCCTCCTAAGGCTTATCTTGTTTGAAGCAAAATACTTTTACATAGGTACTACAGACCACAAAATATTAAAATAACCTGACTCTTGGAAATTTCAATTAAGGAATGCTTCTGAAGGAAAGAGTTTTCTTTAAAGAAAAAGGCTCTCCTACTACTAAGCTGTTAAGTCCAAGGTTTGTTTTTGTTTGCTCCTCCAGGTAGAAACCTCTTTTGGGTGTCTCACTCCTAAGTCAATCCAGACTCAGAAGTTTAAGTGTCCTGGTCTCTATGGCATTAAGTACACAACGTGAGACTCTAGTTCAAGACATCTTGTTAATCCAAGAAGAAAGTTATCTTCTTATTATACATTAAAGAAACACATAAAAACATCTCTGTAATAAATATGAAGAATTCATGAAAGTGCTTTTTGGAACAGAAGCCAAAGGAATTCACAGAAGTTAGAATTAAATTTCTCGGCAATGGAGACTAACAAAAAGCCTATTTCAGGACAAGTTAACTGCAAATACGAACTGTGTGGTGGGGAAGGAAGATTACCTGTGGCCACAGCCCTTCCTCATAATAAAGGCTTCAGAACAAGAGATCAAGAATAGCACCTGGGGCTTCCCTGGTGGTGCGGTGGTTGAGAGTCCGCCTGCCGATGCAGGGGACACGGGTTCGTGCCCTGGTCCGGGAAGATCCCACATGCCACAGAGCGGCTGGGCCCGTGAGCCATGGCCGTTGAGCCTGCGCGTCCGGAACCTGTGTTCCGCAACGGGAGAGGCCACAGCAGTGAGAGGCCCGCGTACCACAAAAAAAAAAAGAAAACAAACAAAAAAACAGCACCTGTTTCTGTCAACACTTATTATTATTGCTTGACTTTTTTATGTCTTCATAAAATACAAACTGTTTGCCTTAATGAAAATCTAACAGAACATGCCATAAGAGTGATTTAAAAGCTCAAAAGATACACGGACACAAATGGATTACAGAGCTGCTCCACACCACTAGCTTCAGAGCTCTCAACTACTGGAGGATATAGAATCGTGGAGACCGCCCATCTCCACGAGGGCTGTAAGTGGGAAGGCACGCACTCCCAAGGGAGAATAAGGTGGCTGGGACGCAGAGGGTGGTCCATGAAAAGTGAAAGACCTTAGGATGAAGAATATTAACTGAAAAACTGTTTTCGCTTACCCAGCAATGACAACACCATCGTGAGAATGCACATCACATAAAACCGCGTCAGGAATGTGTTCCAGCTCACTCACAGCGCCTTTGCGATTCTGCATAAGAAAAGGGGGTGCAGTTTATACTATTCTCTGGATAGCCAGGAGACAAAGCATTTCGCTCTCAACTACATTCATGGCAGTTTTTTTACGGCATGGACTGTGTCCATAGTTATCAAGACATTCGAAAGGACAGAGACAACTAATATGTTAAGCTATGTATTTAAGAGTTACAAACACACTGAATGAAACTACTGGGCACGGGATGCACGAGACGCTGGCCCTGTCCTTGAGGGGATTACAGGATGTTAACCACTCCACTCCGCAGTGGGCTGCTAGTGAAGAAATGTATAAAGTGTATTTAAAAAGTTCAGTTCAGATGAAAGAAAGTAGTTAATGGTATTTTACCTGTTAACACCCCTTATAAATGCTCTCAGAATAAAATGAAAAAGTATATACAAGATAAAAATCAGGATGGGGAAAAGAAAAGACATTGTTTCTGACTGAGAGGTCAGAGGTTCATGGAAAGGGTATTTAAAGGAAACCCTAAAACCCATAACACAGCTGCTCCTGAGGAGGGAACTAGGTGGTAGGTGGAGAGAGGTGAGAAAGAGATGTATTTTCCAGTACATGCCCTTTTATGACTTTTGATTTACTGCATCACGATTGTTTATTTATTGATCAAAATATGTATAAATAGGGCTTCCCTGGCAGTGCAGTGGTTGAGAGTCCGCCTGCCAATGCAGGGCACACGGGTTTGTGCCCTGGTCCGGGAAGATCCCACATGCCGCGGAGTGGCTGGGCCCGTGAGCCATGGCCGCTGAGCCTGCGTGTCAGGAGTCTGTGCTCCGCAATGAGAGAGGCCACAACAGTGAGAGGCCCGCGTAACGCAAAAAAAAAATGTGTGTGTGTGTGTGTATGTGTATAAATAAAATATTTTTAAAATAAAGGGAATCTTGAAGAATAGAAAGTATTTACATGTGGGATGTTGGGAAGGGCAGGGCAGGACAGTTAAGTCAAAAAGCAAGCGTGAATAAAAGGTATTCAAGAATACCAAGCCAAAGAGATATGGGAACATATGTATAACTGATTCACTTTGTTATAAAGCAGAAACTAACACACCATTGTAAAGCAATTATACCCCAATAAAGATGTTTAAAAAAAAAAAGAATACCAAGCCATCAAAAAATATATACACATAACTGAAGTGCTTTGCTGTACACCTGAAACAATATTGTAAGTCAACTATATACTTCAATTAAAAAAAAATACCAAGCCATCCATAATTTCAACTTTGCTGTACCAGCACAAGGATTAGAAATAGTGTGTGTAAGTGGCAAGCACAGTTCTTAGCACATAGCAGGTTTTCAATAAATGGTAGTTACTATTTATATTATTAGGAGACAGATGATGACATCCATTCCATTAAAACCAACATTTATTAAGCAGCTGTACTCCAGGCACTGTGCAAGACGATCTACATGGTGATCTCACTGAACTCGAGGACCAAGTCCAAGGCTGAGGGACACAACTGGACACATCCAAGTGGGGCTGTCCTGCGAGTGGAGACATGGGGATGGAAGGACTTGAGAATCATCTGTTCGAGGGCCACAGCCAAAATGACAAGAACAGCAAAGCTCTTTTGAGGGACAAGCTATTGAAAGAAAAGGAGAGGGCCTGTGTGCTCACGTCCTCCACTAAGTTTCACCACGTGGCTTCCTCCCCATCAAGGGCTCCAACCCCACACTGGTATTCTGGATTAGAGAGATCCTAGAATGCTACAGTGAAATGAGTGTATGCAAACACCAGGAAAAGGAAGATCATCTGCACGCTGGCTCTGAACTGCAGGTCCAGGTAAGCTCCTGCAGGTCCAGGTAAGTTCCTGCATTCACAGGTCATCCCCTGTGTGGAAGTACTGAGAACCCTGGGGTCCCTTCTCAGCTTCCTCAAACACCAACCTAGGAGATGCCAAACCAAATCACCTTCCCAACCCATCCTGAGGTTGACCATGAATAGCACCAAACCACAGCATCTGCGTGCCAAGGCCAATGCTAACTGAGCAGCAGACACAGGCCACGCGCTGTGGGAGGAGTGTTAAATATATCATTAGACAGTCATCCTCACAACGGCGCAAAGAGCGCAGCTACTCTCAGCTCCATGTTAGAGATGAGAAATCAGAGGCACACAAAGGGAAAGCATCTTGCTCTGCACTACCTTTCATGTTTTCATAAGAATTCCTTTCATTCTAGAATCACAAGAATCCCATCACTACAGTTAATGCAAGAGTCATCATTTGACATTTTACTTCTGTAGTCCTCACAGGTAACAGTGCAGGAAATGGGCCTGAGAAACTCCACAGAGAAGCCTCCCTCCGGTCTCCCTGCAGTTTGACTCCAGGTCATTCAAGCAACGACCTCTTATTGAGCACTTATCAAACACATGGCTTTGGGTTTGTTGCAGAAAAACAACAAAACAGACGTTCAGTTAGATTGTATGTCATCTGTATACTGGCATTAAGTGCCAGATGCTATGAGGCGGGTCTTTAAACACCTTCACTTCTGCCCCCTCCAGCATGGATGAGGAGGCTGTACCTGCTTCCCTCCCTAGCTTTCTAATACCAAAGAGGAAACAAAGAACTCAGCTGCTGCTTTCTCTCTTAGAATCTGACATTTATGAATTCAAGCCAGGGTACATGGAATATCTCCAGCTCTCATGCTCACAAATCTCAAAAGTATCCCTCCTTCCCAGACAGAAAGGCCCTAGTAAATGCCTCACTCTCAAGCTTTCCTTAAATTATGGCTCCTCCTGCCAGAGTCAGACCCTCTGCTTTCCGGACCCCAGCCTGTCTAAGCAGCTCTGGCAAACCCAATGCCTGCTCTCACTTATGTCCTTCACACAGACATAACCAAGCAAATGGGCAAGAGGGCGAGGGGGGCCCTCCACGCGAGTTTATTACCTGGAGTGGATACACAGAGCGGGGGGCCAGAGGGATCTGTACTTAGTGGTGGGTCTTCATGGCTATGCTAATCCTCTTTAGAAGGATGGTTCTCACCCAGGGCTGATTTTGCCCTCAGGGGACATCGGACTGGTCTGAAGACTTTTTGGTTGTCAGAGCTGCGGGGAGGAAGAGAATGCTTCTGGCATATACTGGGGAGAGGCTGGACATGCTGCGGAAGATCCTGCCAATGCCCAGGACAGGCCTCACCGCAAAGTATCGGTCCCAGATGGCACTGGTGCTGGGGTTGAGAAACCCGAGTTAGAGGAACACTACCTCTTATTAACTTTGCTAGGAACTGTGACGCTGCCCAGATCAAGAGTATCGGTCACTAATCAGGTTATGAGGTGACTGGGGACAGACATGCACATAGGCAATATGTCACTATCAGTAATGAGCAAAAGCTTGTTAATCTCAAAGTCTATTAGGATTGACCTTTACAGGACGGGAAAGAATACAGTTCTGTCCCTTCCTTCCAACTGAATATCCAGCTACCCAGGTGGGAAGAAATGGGCACCACACTGCTGTCTCGTCATGCCTTAAACAGCTTTATGTAACACTGTTCTTGACAGTTATTTTCTACAGAAACACTGTTCTGTGCAAATTCATAGCTGTGATCTAATATTTCTGTAGAAATTTTGAAGTGATAAATGTTATGGAAGCAAGCCAATAGGTTATGTGAGGGAAGAGAAGACAGTACTTAGAGATGCTTAATGATCTCCCTCTTAGAATTCACTGGAGATAGCATTTTCAGCCCCTCTTTTGTATTCAGGTGGTGCTTTCTTGGTCCATCCAGGGAGATGGTGGCAGTGAAAAGGGGCTGCACTGAGCACTAGCCCAAAGACCCCAACCACCAGAGGTGAGGGGACCAGATCCTCAGTCTCACCCCTCCTCTCCTAGAGGACAACAGGACGCTCCCAAAGAGTGCGCTTGAAAACAAGGGCAGATACTCTAATGGGCGACAAAAGGGGCAACAAATCACCAAGAGCTGAAGGGACGCTCACCATCCTCCTCCTCTCCTTGTTTGTGGCAGTTAATCTCAGGATGAAATTGGAAGGACTCGGTGTTTAATCCCAGGCTTGGATTCCTGTGTCCTTGCAGGCTATTCCCCTACAGGTAATGATATTGGCCACTGCCTACCTTCCAGTTGGTTCTTAACATGTGTTCGTTGGCTCGGCACTCTTGGAAGATGAGCTTCCAGCAAGAATAATCAGAGATGCTGCTCTCGGGAAGGTGCCCTTCCTGCTGGCACAGCCGGTACCAGAGTACTTCATCTTCTGCAATCACCTTCCACGTCTTGCTCACCTAAAACAGCAGAAGTGACACAAATGTCAAGTTCTGCAATTAGACAAGTCCCTTGTCATCCAAAAATCAATCAACACCTTTATTACTGCCCTGGGTTTATGGCAGTATAAAATGTCTCATTAACAAAACACTCTGAGGCGAAAAAAAATACAAGCAAATGTTTCCTGTTTTATCTTTCAAGATTTCAAAATTGTTGTACTACCATCTAATGTCACATTTTAAACTACTTGGTTATTTTATATATATATATATGTGTATAAAATATAAAGAGAAAAAAAGAGACAAATACATAAAAGGCATAAAATACACACTGTAACATGTTAATAGATATAAAATCATACACAGCTTTTCAGAACAGAATCTCTTTACCTTTTACCAATAAGCACTTGTCTTTCCATCTTACAGAGCTACAGACCAATGACCTCTGAAGTAAAGAGCTGTAATAAAATATCCATAACCCAAAACTTCTGGTCATATGAGAAATTCAGATTTATACTATGTGCAAAAACTTAAGATTTTAAATGTGTAGATTAAAAAAACGATTTAACAGAAAACTCAAGCAATTATCTAGGATGGTAAGATCTGATATAGAGAAATTAATATTGTGACTGGACTGAATTTCAAATCCCAACAGTATCCAGAGGAAATGGCCATTTTAGCTATTAGTGTTTTTTGTTTGTTTTTGGTTTGTTTTGTTTTACCACCAATGTCTTTTTTTTTTTTTACATCTTTTTTGGAGTATAATTGCTTTACAATGGTGTGTTAGTTTCTGCTTTATAACACAGTGAATCAGTTATACATATACATATGTTCCCATATCTCTTCCCTCTTGCGTCTCCCTCCCTCCCACCCTCCCTATCCCACTCCTCTAGGTGGTCACAAAAGCACCGAGCTGATCTCCCTGTGCTATGCGGCTGCTTCCCACTAGCTATCTATTTTACATTTGGTAGTGTATATATGTCCATGCCACTCTCTCACTTTGTCCCAGCTTACCCTCCCCCCTCCCCATATCCTCAAGTCCATTCTCTAGTAGGTCTGTGTCTTTATTCCCGTCTTACCCCTAGGTTCTTCGTGACATTTTTTTTTCTTAGATTCCATAAATATGTGTTAGCATACGGTATTTGTCTTTCTCTTTCTGACTTACTTCACTCTGTATGACAGACTCTAGGTCCATCCACCTCACTACAAATAACTCAATTTCATTTCTTTTTATGGCTGAGTAATATTCCATTGTATACATGTGCCACATCTTCTTTATCCATTCATCTGTCGATGGACACTTAGGTTGCTTCCATGTCCTGGCTATTGTAAATAGAGCTGCAATGAACATTGTGGTACATGACTCTTTTTGAATTATGGTTTTCTCAGGGTATATGCCCAGTAGTGGGATTGCTGGGTCATATGGTAGTTCTATTTGTAGTTTTTTAAGGAACCTCCATACTGTTCTCCATAGTGGCTGTACCAATTCACATTCCCACCAGCAGTGCAAGAGTGTTCCCTTTTCTCCACACCCTAGCTATTAGTGCTTTGTCTTCCAACCCTAACTTTGGGGAATGATGGATTTACTTCATCATGCGATAATGTAAAAAGCTGGGCAGACTGCAAAAGATGGACTCTGCTCGCAAAATGAGAAACTGATCCAGCAGATCAGCATGATCTGGGGTCTGCAACACATTCTGCTTGCTGTCCACCCAAAGGCTGAGCCTCCCTTCTAAGAAAGTAAGAGTCATGACCAGTGGTCCATGGTAACTTGTGCTCCTTAACACTCCCTTGGGGCCACTTCAAGACATCCAATACTCAGACAAGAAGAGAGAACAAGAGACAAAGAGAGAGCACACAGCATGTGCATGGCAGACTCTCATTACACAAGGGTGCCTCATTTGAGAAATACCAATAGGGAGTTAGCTTCCAGGACTACAGAGTTGAAGATCTCCGAAAATCTGCTCCTCCACAAAACCAACAAGAATACTGCCAAAAATTGTCAAAATCAACTTTTTCAGAACTCTAGAAATTAACTAAAGGTTTGCAACGTTCTGAGAAGCATCTATTCAAGAAAAATGGCTGAATCTTGGTAAGAAGAGCAACCTTTGTATTGTTTTCACTTGCGTTAATCCCATCCTCATCCTCTAGCTCCATGGTAGCCTTGAAAACCAACAGCCTCCAACTATAGCAGCTGTAAAAACCAGCAGTCTACCAGCTCCCAGAGAGGCCAAATGGGTTTATTGCTCTCCAAAAGTACCATCCCCAGAGAACCGTCACTATTTGGCCTGTCTGGCAGCTTGCTAGAAAGCTCTGTTCTCGAGGCTTGTTTTTATCTAATCTGACTTAGATCTAACTCTGTCCTATATCCAGGGCATTTGTCAGAAAAAAATAAGGGACAACTGTTTAACAGTGCAGCTGCCTGACATGGCACTACCAAGTAGGGCTAAAAGGAGGCTAATCGAAAGCCTTAAAAGGAAAACCTGGGGAGTGGGATACCCCATTATAAATATATTCAAAATACTAAAGGAAAGCATATCTAAAGAAATAAACTTATGAGCATAATGTCTCACAAAGTAGAGAATATTGACAAAGAGACAATATTTTATTTTTTTTTAAAGAACCAAACAGGGCTTCCCTGATTGCACAGTGGTTAAGAATCCACCTGCCAATGCAGGAAACACAGGTTCGAGCCCTGGTCCGGGAAGATCCCACACGCCACGGGGCAACTAAGCCCGTGTGCCACAACTACTGAGCCTGTGCTCTAGAGCCCGTGAGCCACAACTACTGAAGCCCACACGCCTAGAGCCCGTGCTCCACAAGAGAAGCCACCACAATGAAGCCCGTGCACCACAACAAAGAGTAGCCCCCGCTCGCCACAACTAGAGAAAGCCCGCGTGCAGCAACGAAGACCCACCATACTTAAATAAATAAATAAACTTCTTTTTTTAAAAAAAAAGATAGTAATATAGGAAAAGAGGAACAAAAAAAAACCATACTGACAGCTCCTTAAATGGCTGAAGGCAGCCATCACATGTCCCCTTAGTCACTTCTTCACTGGTCTAAACACACCCGTTTTCTCCAACTAATGGTCATAGGACTAGCTCCCCTACCCATTATCTCTGAAATGCACCCTAGTATTTATGCATCTCTGGTGTCCCTCTTCAAAAGTCCTGATACTCAGGACTAAACAATACCCCAGATATAGACTGTCAAGTGCCATGAACAGAAGGATTTTATCAGATACTAATTTGCTCCTTCACTTGAAGATACATCCTTATGGTTACAGAACATATGGTCCTGAGCTTCTGGAGTCTGTTTATTTTATTAAATATTTAAGGTAGACAAAAAGGTATATATTACAAACACCCATGGATACACCACCCTGCTTTGAAATATTACCAATAAGCTTAAAACTCCTATGCATCCCCCAGGGTCCACATCCTTTTCTCGCCAACAGTAACCTCAGTTTGGTATTTATCAATCTTCAGTCTTTTTAAATACAAGTTGCAATTAAAGAAAAATAAAGTCCCCATTTCTTACTCTCACACTATTATGTCTTAAACTTAAATTCTTAACTTTCTAAACTTTCTATCCATTTTAAATCCCACCTCATCACACATACCCACCCCCAGCATTTTTTTTTTTTTTTTTTTGGGGTCCGCGGGCCTCTCACTGTTGTGGCCTCTCCCGTTGCGGAGCACAGGCTCCGGACGCGCAGGCTCAGCGGCCATGGCTCACGGGCCCAGCTGCTCCGCGGCATGTGGGATCTTCCCGGACCGGGGCACGAACCCGCGTCCCCTGCATCGGCAGGCGGACTCTCAACCACTGCGCCACCAGGGAGGCCCACCCCCAGCATTTTATATCATTTTTGCATCTCAATTCTGTCATCCATTGTAGGTATGCTACTTTTCCTTTACATAAGTCATCAGCAAAATACAGTCTGTGGGGCTTCATGTCTTAATTATTTTAAAAAATTAACCAGGATAGGGCTGAGGATGGAGCCCGTGGCAAACCACTAGAGCCCTCCCCCAAGGCTGACATGGATCCATTAAGCAGCCCACCCCAGGCACGGCCACAGCATCAGTTACAAATCCACTTAACCACACTGTCATCTCACACTTCTCCATCTTAGCCATAAGGGCATCGGGGAAACAAACCCTCATCTGATCACAAGTGGTCAGGCAATAAAGAATGGGATAATGACTCAGTAACACTGGAGTTCCAGTTTCCACTAGACAGAACACCATGGTTTTATTTTTGGCATGTTTGGTCCACAGCTGAGCCTGTCCATGACACTGGTGGTGTCTGTCCATCTGTCCGTGCCAAAGTGAGTCTCAGCACTAGGCAATCATGAAGCACAGACAGGGACAGACCAACATCAGCTGTGAAGGAGCCAGGCTACAGCTCAAATAGCTCCAGAGCAGAGTATTTCTCCCACAGGCCCCTGCAATTCAGGGTTAAATAAAGTATAAGGGTGAACACACAGACACCCTCATGGGTTCTCAAAGGCACAAAGTGCTAGCTAACCACACGGCAGTTTACTCTGATCCCTGGGATACATCAGCCCTTTTCTGTAAAAATTATAAAATGTAAAATTGTGTAGAATTTATGAAATGCAACTACTAGATGAAAGACCCAGGCTCATTATTTCACTACACAGACCAGCACTTCCCAAAGCATATTCAATAGAATAGCAGCTCCTTAGGGCATTAATAAGTTATTTTAGAAAAGGATTCCACCGTCACACGAGTTTGGAGAACACTGGTTTAAACAAAATTAAGCAGGACTCTTCACTGCAGAACTTCTCAGAGCTTTTAACAGACTGACACGTGTTGCATATCTCTAAGAAGCAAATGTAAGAGGCTGCATTGCTCGAACGTATCTAGCTCCTGAACTCTTCTTACAAGGAGTGTCTCAAAAGCCCAGTGTCCTCCAGGAGACACCTTACAGAACATTGATATGGGTATCAGTCAGTCAATTAAAACACATGTTGGGCACCAACTGTATGCAGACACTAA